ACACAAGCTCACGTCTGCTCCACCGACACCTGCCCCCAAGCCCAGGGAGCCCTGCCTCAGCCTGCAGGCCATGTCAGCAAGGTGGACACAGCCACGACACACCGAGGAAGCGATGAGAAACAGAGATGGCTCAGAGGAACAGAAAGGCTCTACTTACATCTTCGTTGGTTGTCTGATTCAGTGCCACCAGGAAGGTGTGGAACCCAGTTAACCCCACCACCGACCACAGGGTGAAGAAACAGATGAGCACCTCCAGTACAGTGAGAACAGTTAAGGACTGGGAATGGCCTGGGAACAGCCCCAGCCCAGCTGCATCACCACCCCCAGGCACACTACCCCAACTTCTCCTCTCCTAGACATGGTTTTCTGTTTTACCCTGCTCCCAAAAGCCACAAAATTGCTCCTCGCCTTGTAATTGTGGGGGAAAATGCCCTGAAAGACTCCAGTCCCTCTATAATGCAGCCTGCACTAACACCCAGCTTTGGAGAAGCCGCCCCCTCCGCACCATGGAAGGATATGTCCCTGGGGTTTCCTTCAACGTGTTCAGAAACCCAATCTTCAGAGATTCTGGCAATACAAAGAGAGAGGTATTTTTTCTCTGGAACACCACGCCAAACCCAGTTCCCTTTCCGGCTCCATCACTTCTGGGTTCGCAATGCCATCTGTGCCCCCCCACCCCACCCTCAGCCAGCCCAGCCATCCACCTCTCCGCAGCCAGACTCACTCAGTGCTACGTAGACTATGTTGAAGGTGAAGATGTAGATGGTGAGGAGTGAGAGCGAGAGGATGAAGAGGTAGAAATAGCGGTAGTTCCTCTTCCCCACGCAGTTGCCCACCCAGGGACAGTGATGGTCGAAGCGCTCTGTGAAAGCCAAGGTGGAGATCAGTGCTGCTCTAGCACGGTCCTGCCTGCCACCAAACTCAAAAACATCCAAGGCTGACGCAGACTCCCTGGGCCATCCAGTCCAACCCTCTGCTAACTCAGGGCCCCATATCACGGCCCCCTTCCAGAAGGGGAGGCCAGGTAAGAAAGTGCAAAACCGTTTTACTACTCAGTTATTTTGCACATCAAGATGGTGTTTAAGAGCTTGGCCCCACGCGCGTCTTCTCCCCCAAAGACCTGGGGTGTAACAGCTTTTACTAAAGCAGCGCACAGGTTAGATGATTTCCCTGCTCACTGCAGAGGGGTTGGACTAGATGACCTCTAGGGGTCCCTTCCAACCCAAAACATTCTATGATTCTGTGAAGGCCTGGGGGTTCTTACCCAACCCATGCGCCTACTAGAGTAATTAGAAGGGGTTCAAGGGACTGCATAAACACTCAAAGGGCTGGGAACCTGCAGAGGAGGAGAGGGATCCAAAAGAATGGGATTTCTTCCTTGAGGAGGGATGCTGAACACGAGCCAGCGATGATGTGCAAAAGGGCTAAGAGAGCTTCTGCTGTGCAGGAAGGGGAACAAAAAACCGGGGTGCTTGATGTAACGGCTCTGTGCTGATGCAAGGAGCTGCTTTCACACAAGACACAGCTCTCCACTGGAACCCGCCAGCCCAGCAAGTTCAGGGAAACTCGAAAATGGACTGCACATTTACATGGACAGGTTAGATCTGAGTTAGACTAGTTATTGCCAAAGTAGTGCTGGCAAAGATGAACCATCTGGCTTCAGGTTCTGAGCAAATCTCAAGCTCTGTGAGCATAGGATGAGGCAGACTGTCCCCGTCTGTTCACACACCGCCATTCTGGGCTCGCTCAGCAGGCGCAGTGTGAGAACTGATCCGGAGCAAGACTGGGTGCGGTCTCGCCGTTCTCTTCCTTCTTCACCTGTCCTCTTCCAAGGGCTCTCACCTAACACCCAGGTGCCGGAGCAGGCATGGCCTCTTCTACTCACCCACACAGTTGTCGCAGATGCTGCAGTGAGAGGCACGGGGCGGACGGAAGATCTTACATGTGTAGCAATACTTCAGCTTCACTATCTGGTTGTTGATCTGGAAGTTTTTAATCCGCGGGGGTGGGCGCTGACCCTGCGGCACGGTCCCGTTGGTGGCCTCTGAGAGAGGGAAACAAGCAGAGATCAGACCTGCTGTACAACAGGACAGGCCTCGAATGACAACTCGCCTCCCTGCCTTTCCTACCAGTGGGATCAGAGCCTGATGGGTGTAGAGCCAGCGGCTGCAGCTCCGCTCGCACGGCCCAGAGCCAACCTGGCAGCTTGGAGGCAGGAAAAGGGATGTCAGAGCTTTCACGGGCATATTGAGAGGGGTCGGGGCGGGGGCGGCGCTGTACAGACCCACATCCACCAAACTGCCTCCCTACCTGAAGGATCAAGGGGCCCACACCAAGCTTCCTGCACCCCTTCCCAAATTTGTATGTACACAGCCACAAGAGAGAAACCAGCACGTGAAAAGGTTCCCAGAAAGGGAAGCCGGTAAATCGCACCATCTTTCTGAGACTCAGCCAAGCAGAATTAGCCAGCAGGTGGTAACATGCCCCACTTGGGGCAATGCTTACTTCTGGAGGGCCAGACAGGAAGAAAGGCTCTGCGGAGAACGTAGCCTACAGATACGCCAGAAATACAGAGGCTTTTCCAGCCATCGCCAGCTCAGCTGGCTCCGCACTCACCAATCTCCATCTCGATGAAGGCTGCCTCGTCAGGTAGGGCTCTCGGGATCACCCCAGGATCACTGAAGCTCGTCCGCAGGAGCGTGGCCATGGCGAATAGGAAGAGAACTGCGGCAAACACGGGGATGGCTGGGGACAGCTGGACTGCCAGGTACCGGCACCTGCAGAGAGACGCCAAGAGGCGATGAATCAGACCGCAAGGGCTGCCGGAGCCAGGGCCCGAAAGCCTGGCAAGGCGTCAGAGTCCAGACTTTTCCGAGCACCGGTTACATCTGAAGAAGAGAGGCTGTCCAGCGCTTCCTTCTGACCCCACCACCGCAGGGAAACATCCCTGGGGCAGCTCTAACGACCGGCCCCAACCAAGGTATACCGGCGCGGTTTCAAACCAGCCAGGCACAGCTTGCTTGCCAGCATTTTGTTTTGTTTCCAGCTCCCATTTTGCTCAGAGTCAGACGCTAGAAACGCAACCAGCCAGCCAGAGGGATCTTGCCTGGAGGACACCCGCTGCAGCCGGTTGCCAAGGGACGGACCATGGCCCCAGGAGAGACACCCAAGGCCTAGGACCCGAGAGCCCACCGCTGGAGCGGAAGGCACGGGAGCACATCGGAGTGCTGGGAATCTCTGGCTGTCCCCTGAACAGGCGGCAGCTTCCAGCACCACTCAAGTTATTTTCCAGGGTTGAACTGCGTCCTGTGCTTCGCAGGAACAGGTTGACATGGAAGTGCACCATTCCCGTGCAACAAGACATCTGCCTTCCTTTGACTTTTCTGAGATAAGGGACTCAAAAGCTCCAAATACAGTGGAAAAGCTCCTGCCCCAAGACAACCACAGCTCCAGAGAGGGAACGCAGCGTAAGGTTCGTTTGCTTTATACGTACAGAAGGGTCCAACAAGGAATTTACGTTGCTAGTCCCGCCGATCGAGGCGGTGCAAAGGGAGCAAGGAGATTAATCCCGCTGTGCCCCGTGTCACTTCTGGATGCCCGCAGATGTGTCTCCATGGGCACGGCAGCACAGGCCACGCGGAAGGCCTGTTTGGAAGTCATGGTTTAGAGCTGTACCGGGCTGAAAGAAGACATTCCCAATTCCTTCAGAAAAGCCCATGTATGCTGGGGTGAAGTTCCTATGGGGCTTTTCTACTGTTTAAGGGAAACCCCACCCAAGTCCCAATGCTTGTGCAAAATTTCATCTCTCCTTGCATGCCTGGCTTCCCCAGTTCCTCCCAATGGAGCTGGGTGCCCAGGCTTTCCAGTAAGCCCTGACTCCGCAGGGGTGGATCCAGCCCAGGCTCCTGCTCTCCACAGTCGTTCTCCAAGAAAGCGTGAGGCTACTGTGGTGAAAGGCATGGGATTATCCTCCCCAGTGGATCTGTCATCTTAAGCGAGGCGATTTCCACGGCATCGGTAGCATTAACTATTTAAGTCTGGAGAGCCTTCCCACCCATAGCTTCTCCAAGCACAATAAAGTTCCTAGCTCCAGCTGGTTCCTTCGCAGCACCGAATTCTACAAGCCCCCCCATCCGCTGCAGGAAGGCTCACCGGGCTTTCATTTGCCATTGCCTGGCTCCAGGAGCTGTCCCCTCTGTGTGATGAGGTACAGGAAGGGCTGTATACCGAAATTACGGTCTGCTTCGGCCACAGCCGCAACACGACGCATCCACAGCAATGCGCAGGGCCTGTCCCCTAAACCAACGCCGTTCATTTTAGACACTACAAACTCCGCAGACACTCAGGACAACACAACCCTTAGAGTCGCCCGTGCGCAGCGTCCTGCCTACGTTTGACGAGACGGGGCTGAGCGGCCAGAGGGCTGAGCTTACGGTCTTTAGGCGGCCCAAGATAACTTTGCTTTCCCTTTGCAAGGGCAAAGTCTAGAAAGAGAGCTGCAAGTCAGCCAGCAATTAAACAGAAACCTTGGATCCTGTTTTGGGAAGGAATATGGGTTTGTTCTTCTAAAAGATGGACAAGGTCTGCCTCAAAGGGCTGCAGCTGACCCTTGTCCAGCTGACATGACAGCTTTTATAACTGTTGTAACAACATGAACATATTACGGGCTTAAAATATGGATTCACAAACTGCATTAAAGCTGAGCCAAAACTGCGCCAGAGCTTCCAGCCTCCGATATACACCAACACCTTATAAGTTTCTTCAGTGTACTGTCAGCAAAGAGATTTATTACCCGCAAGCACATGATCCGCGCCGGGTGTACTCTCCCAGGCACAGACCTGAAAGCTTTACACAGTGGCACTCAAGGATGAACGGGATCAGTCCCTGCAGCGACCGGCGCGGTCCCCGCTCAATCTGCGTACAAGCACGAGCATGGGATGTGACTCACTCCCCGCTGACCATGTCCTGTGCATCTTTGTAAGGAAACCTGCCCTTTGGGGATGCAGCAAGTCCTGCTGTCCCCGAGGCACAGCAAGAGCGGCCTCAAGATTGATGTTACCACATCGCAGAGCGTGGCGTGGGAACAGGAAGAAGCCTGCAATTTTAGGAGACGAGAGAGGCGCGTGTGCGACCGTCCTCCCTGCCTTGGCGAGGGAAGCAGCACCATCCAGCCGGTATCCAGCCCTTCCATCCAGCTCCCAGCGTGGCACAGGCCCAAGGCAGGTTAGGTCCCCAGTTCAGGAGCAGAGAGGAGCAGTCCCGGACAGACTGCCTGTCTGGCCAGAGGTGGGCAGGGGGAGGACAGGGACAAAGCCCCAGATGCCCACACTCCTGTCTGATGGGGGTAAGATACCTAGAAACTCGCACAAGGAAGTATTAACGCCAGCTCCTTCAGCCGCCATTCACTGAAGCGCGTGAGATGTCCGCTCAGCAGCGCCGCTGTCTTGTTGTCATCGTCCCTCCAGCACGAAGCAAGCATCCAGGCGCTGTGCTGGACGCTCGACCCCATCACTCGGAGGCGCCCTGGCACGGCAGGGGCCGAGCAGGGCCCTCCCCTTCCCCAGGTAGGGGGGCTGGCAGCGCTGCCACGTCCCCTCTGCAGGAACACCTGCCTGTCTGGCCAGAGGTGGGCAGGGGGAGGACAGGGACAAAGCCCCAGATGCCCACACTCCTGTCTGATGGGGGTAAGATACCTAGAAACTTGCACAAGGAAGTATTAACGCCAGCTCCTTCGGCGTTTCCTTTCGGGGAACATGCCCAGCGCATCTGCCACGGCGGAGGAAGCCAAGCGCCGTCTAGAAGGGCTGAGCAACAGGTAAGGCCACCATGTGAGGCTTTGAGGTGGTACCCACTAGTGCTGGGGATTCCTCAGTCTACGCCTCGTCTACAGCACAAATAGGCCCAGCGATTCATTTACAGTGCTAAGGAACAGACATTTTAAAGATCTTTTGTTTGGGAAAGCCGAGCGTCAACAGAGACATACTGTTGGCGTGTAAGGCTATTGCTCCTCCTCCGCTCCCAGTGCAATATCTGTGTTCTCGAGCATGTTGTCATCTAAGAGCAGACAATAACAGCACTATCACAACTCGTCACCATGGGGGGGGGACCGGCTTAAACAAAGAGATCATCAGAATGGGGGCGGGGGGAGCAGCAAGAAGCAGCAGCCGGGAGGTGCCACGAGTTGTCGGTGCGAGGACTGCTTGACCAATTATTTTGCGACCACTTGGGAAGGCCTGTTGTAACCAGCATGTTAAGAGAAGCTCTGGAGGAAGGAGAAAACAAAACACCAGCCCCGATGGAAGTGGACTTTGGCCACGGCCATCAGGCAGCACATCTCTTGGCCAGGCTCCTCCAGGGTTCAGCGCAAGCTCTGTTGTATAATTCGTTTACATCTCACTTGTGAATCACCTATTTAACTTTCCTAAACTAACGCACGCTCGCCCCGAACGCCAGCGAAGCAAAGCAGTATCTTCACCAAATGTTTGACCCTCACCAGAGCACTTGCAGCCATCTGCATCTCCCGGGCCTGGGACGATTTCCAGAAGCTGATGTACTCGCGGTACGCCTGGAAACGGCTGCTCTGAAAAGGCAGGTAACCGCTGCACTGCAGCGCTGCAAGTCCGGGGCCCTTTCCCAAGCAGCACTCGGGCAGAACCAGAGCTGCCTACAGAAACTCTCCCCGCCCGTCCACGGCGCCGCAGGAAACGCTCGCTAGAGACCCACTTCAAGCGCAGCTCCGCCGTGAGTACAGGCCACGTGCTTCCAACCCAACCGAGGCAGCAGCCGACTTCAGGCAGGAGGCAGACACCTTACGCCGGGCTCGTTGCTCTTTTTCCCAGCTAGACTCAAATCTCCACGCAGGCAGGAGAGCGCCCCGAGATCTGCAGGGGGAATGGCGGTGCCACGGAGGACGCAGGTGCTGCAGGGGGAGCAAAGCTGCCTTCCGAAAAGGAGCCCGCGTACAAGAAAGAAGGGCGTGCAACTCAAAAACCCGGGAGCAGCCCCTTCATGCAGAAACACGTCCTCACGAGCAAAATGCGCTGAACTCTGGATACCAACGAGTCTGCCTCTGCCGAGTAGCTACTAAAAATCACCGATCACCTTGTGTGTGAGACTTGACAAGGCTTGACGTAGACCTAACCAGAGGTAAAAGCCTTCTCAGAAGCACCCCTTTTTCAGTGCAAAAACCTTGCAGGTTTGGGGGGGGAAAAAAAAAAAAAATAATAATTTAAGTCCCATGAAGGGTCAAGCATGGTTTTTTTCAACTCATCAGAAAACAAAGACATTTTAATCTCTACCTAGCTAAGAAAGTACAAAGTGATAAACGTGCTTGGTTATCGGAAAAGCAAACAGCAGCCCCTTTCCGCGCTCAGGAGCCTGGCATTGCTGGCGCTATCTTGCCTATAACATTTACAAATGTTGAATGCTCGCGCTGAAAAGCTGGAGACAAAAGAAATCCGGTTCTCTTGCAGCTGCTTTGGAGAGCTGCATGGAGAATGCTCGCTTCGGGAGGGCCTTCACAGACACGCTGGCAAACTGCAACGAGGAAACCCCCAGCAGCCAGGGAGAGGATGCTGCATCCCATCACCTTAATTCCCAAAGGGATTTCACTAAGTGCTTTACCTGGGCTTCTCCTCGTGCTCGAATACCACAAGCGCAGCCAGACAGCGAAGCGCCCCATCACAACAGCTGACGTGCCCAATACGTGTCTGAAATAACGCCAGGAGGATATTCATCAGAATTTTAGGCGGCACGTTCCGGTCATCGAGCAGACCCAATTAAATACAGGTCTCGGACCCTGCAGGGACCAGCCTCGGCCCTTGAGCAGTAGGAGCTGCTTTCTGCCAAGGCGGTGGCGAGAGAGGTGCCCTTGGTCAGAGGACTCCGGTCGCTGCAGAGCGCTTCCCCAGGAGCCAGTACAGCTCCACGGCCTCTGCTCTCTCTGGGAGGGAGGAGCTGGATCTCCAGGTACAGCGCCGATAGCTCAGTCAGCCCTCGGGGTCCTGTTTGCTCCCTGATGAAAAGACTTACCCGATTCCAGACCACAGCTCTGCGGTCTAGGGGATAAAAAGCACAAAAATTCCCCGTAATCGGGGCTGAGGGGGCTCCAGACCGTTCAACTGGGGACGCAGCAGAAGAGCCGATGGCATCGGAGCTACTTGGAGGAAAAAAACCCAAACAAACCAAAACCGAACAAACAAAAAACCAAACCACCAGCAGCAGCCCAAACAGGGAGGCTGTCATTTCACGGCTGGGGAGGACCCCTTCAGCGAGGAACGCGGCGGCTTATCTCGTGACGCGCGATGCCAGTCACCGCCAGCTCTCCAGCGACAGCGTTTGTAATCAGAGCCGAGCCAGAGCAGCCTGGAGGGCGAGGATCAAACCCGCGCTGGCTCTATCGCCTAGCGAGACATTTTCTGGCTTCAGGCATCCCCGAGCCCTGTTCAGACAAGGTGTGACTGCGCAAGTGATTCAGCTGAATGAAATAAGCATTCACAACACAGGCACCCCTGCAGTGAGCGTACAAGAATTGAAAGGACTCCTCCACCCACCACAGTCTGCTTCTCTCCAAAACCAGATCCTAACAACCCGAATTGTTCCTCTGTAGCACAAACTTTAAGGAGGAAACCGTGAATTTCCACGCAAACGCCAAAGAATCTGCCAAAAGCCAAAACGAATGGATAGCACGGTGAAAAGATCAAGGCCGAGACCCCTGTGCAGAGGCACCCTAACACACGCGGAAGGCAGACAGGGTAAGCAGGCTCTGGAGCAGCCGAGCTGCTCGTCTTCTCAGCTCGGCCGGTGAACCAAGAGACGCTGTGGAGTGTTCCTGGTTGGGAAGGCAACGTTTCATCCCTTCCCCAAATTCAAAAATCCCCAGATGATTTCAAAACAAACTCACCTCTTTCGAACAGAAAACATTAGGGTGCTATGCACGGAGAGAATCAAATGGTTATTTTGGATTTTCCCAAACGTTTCCTCATCTCCCCAGTCAAACTGGCTCAGCCAATTTAACTAAAATTCAGAGACGATTCTGCTCCCAGCTAAACTTCCCCCGGGCCAGCGGCCCCCGCAGAGACAGCCCTTCCAGCCCTACGCAGAAGGCACGTCCTGGAGGTCTCGGTGAGAGCAAGGACGGGAGCGGCCCCTCCACAGGGGCTTCCCGGAGCACGGGAAGGGGCTTCTCGAGGGATTTCCAGTCACGTACCCGCTGCACCCATGGCCGAACGAACCGCCGGCTCTGCTGACGGGGCCCACGGCTGGGGAGGCACCTCGGCTTGCTCTGCCCCGCACAACCACCGCGGGCGGCTGGGGAGGGGAAAGACGGCATCGCTCT